CCGCAGTATTCTCCTTATGACTAGCAATTCTCTTTCATCCTTCCAGAGCTGAAGTTCTTTTTCTGGACTGTCCTTTGACTCCTCGTCCTCTACGTCCTTGATGACGCCCTGATTTGTGAATGTGATAACTCAACTCGTGGGACAGTTGGAGGCTATCCGTCCATGGCCATGACACCTGAAACACCTCATGATAGGTACTGTATTGGAAGAGCTACCATTTTTCAACTTCTTTCCATTATGACATGTCTTTTATTCTGTCTTCTCTTACTAACTCTTCCCGAGGTAATTTTTTCTGTTGCAGTAGCTGTAGGTGACTACCCAACTGAAAGTTGTTGCCTGAATGAAGATTGTTGCATGCTCGATTTATGTTTTCTTTCCACCTTCAAGGCTAAAGTTTGAATATCCCTCAACGACTAGTATGACTTTAACTGTACCACATTGTTAATAACGGGCTTCAAGGCCCCCAAGTACCACGCTATAATGTGTTCTTCTGTCTCGACTACTTCACACTTTATTTGCCATTGATTGAATTGTGCTGTGAACTTCTCTGTTGAAAGATATCTCAGTTGCAGGTGGAGCTTCAGAAATATGTCCTGATGGTAATGAGGTGGAAGATACTTTCTTTGCATCGCTGTTTTCATTTTTTTCAATTTGATAATCTTATCAGGACCTTCTCTTTTTCTTCATCTCTGTAAATTTTCCCATTACAAAGATTTGTTTTTTTTCGACTTTATGACTACTAATTTCACCCGCTTATCCTTTTGCATATCTTTATATTTGAATATTCGTTTAAAAGATTGCAACCAGTCAATAAACTCATTTGGATTCTCACCTCCATCAAAATATGGTAGATCCATTTTGATGTCGAAGTCCCTATGTACTCCATATGAGGGTTCCTCTCTCGGCCTTTTTTGATATTGAATTACGATGGGACGTGCTTGGTATTCCTCATCGCTGAGGTATCCCTTGTGGAATGGATTCAGATCTTCGTCCTTATCTCCAATTCAACTTTCTAGATCACGATCAAGGGTTCCAACATCAATTTCCGCATGCCTCTATTGAAGCTGATGGATCTCCCTCAACATCTCGTCACTGGTAGTTTCCAACATGTATGTCCGTTGTGGCATGATTAGAGTTTGGGTTTAGAAGGGGTGGTTGAGGAAAGAAAAAAAAATTGGAGGAGTAAGGCGGATGCTAGGAAACTCTACGGTATGACCAGGGTTAGACTAGTTCTAATACTAAATAATACTAGAAGTAACCAACCCTTAATAACAGAAGCAGATATTATTGAGCAAACAACTAAGATTACAATAAAGACTCCAAATAGAATTGAAATACACAACAAACATCAATATCCGACTAGGGTCAGGGAATGATATTTGTGGGAAAAGGTGTCAGCTAGGTATTAGGCGGCGGAGTAGGCTAGAGATGGAGGTGGAGGTGGGTAGGTGGAGCAGGAGAAATTAGGGCTATTCGTTTGAATCGGGAAGGGGGAAGGGACATGGATTCTCAGATGGCTGTTGAGGAGGCGTGAGGAAGAGGAGTGATACCAGAACTAATAGGAAAAATATTGGAAGCACAAAATCAAACTTTCATTAATATTAAAATAAGGTTACAACATGACACAAACTGGAAATAACAACATAAAGCATAGAATGACACAAGCAAACACCTCTCAAGTGAATTCCAATGGTGATGGAGGCTGGCGAGCTGGGTTGGGATGACTAGCGGGGGTGGTGGCAGGGGGGCAAATGTAGAATTGCAGGGACAACCGACTACGGTAGACAGATGGGTGGCTGGAAGGTATTAGACAACAAGGACAGCTGTAGTGGGGTGCCGACAGTCGAGTGGGAGTGTTGGAAAGGAGGAAGGATTGCTGGACAACAAGGTAAAGCTGCAGATATGGGGCGGTTGAGTGCAGGAAAATCAAGGAGGGGAGACGTTGGCGGCTAAGGAGAGGGAAGGAGACGAATTGGGGAAGATTAAATAGAAATGATACAACACCACCTCAGAGTATGATACAATCGGAACACTACCACCTCTTCGGATACGACTCTAAAATAGGGAAAATGACTCCATACAGGAAATCTGAAAACAAACACAGCAAGAACTGATTTCGACACACAAATGACATTAATTTATAGACAGTCAAGAAACTTCTACACAAAATGAAGGGGGTGGAAAGGTTAGAAGAATCCATAGAATACTTCACGAGTGATGCAACATGTGATGTTTTCCCCTCAGATTGCGATTCTTCTTGCTCAAGGGTTCTCTCGTTGTCGCGCTTCTTCGGGACAGTTCGCGGGTTGGCCCCCGCAGCAATTAGCGCCCGTGCCCTGGCGCTGTTTTAGCTCCTGTATTAGGGCATTGTTCGCGCCCCGCATTAGGGGCGCAACTGGCGCCCACTTCAAGGAGGCTGCAGGGTAACTGGAATATGAGATGTGGGGAAAGGAGGAAGTAGGGCTGGCAGTAAAGAGCAAGCTGAAAAAAGGAGGGAAGAGGATTGATGGCTGGTTGTTGGAAGGGACAAAAAGGGGGGATATAGCAGCTGACATTTGGGGCTGGAAGGGGACAACAGGCTGGCGGTTGGGCAATTCTTGACCGACAGTTGTAGGCTGGTAGGGAAAGCACTACAAAGGGGGAATCAAAAGGGGATAGTCACCTCCTCGGAGCAGGATACAATCAAAGTAGTAACTGTTTTCAGATACAACCCTAATATGGGAAGGGAAGCCTATAGGAAGCAATTTGAAAATAAAACATAACCTAACTCTAGACTCAACAAACACAAATATTAATAGAGGATAGATAGGTGGGAGAAGAAAAAGGAGGGGGGAAACTTAGGTGGTAGATCCCGCCCAAAGGAAGGAGCCGGTCCAGCCTCTTGCTAGACTAAGACTCTGCTAGACTTGAACCAGTTAGGCCGGTTCAGCCCAACAAGCTCCCGCTTCATATATTCTCTTATATTATTGTTAAATAACATCGCTTTAATGCTCATTCACGAATTATGATATTTTTTAGTAACAATTAGCTAGGGAACCATATAAGGGATTGTGTTGGATGATTTGCTTCTTAGAATAGCTTTGTAGAAGCTTATGCTTCTGTGGGCTCATCCTATAATTTAGATCTGATAGAGTTATTCCCAGAATTAAATTAACATGACATCAAATTAATCCTAGGGGCAGTAATTATTTGGTAACCTTGGTGAGGGGACATCAACAAACTGCATTAGATGATGTTCTTCCATAATGCTTAGAGTTTCAGCTAACAAGGACTTTTGTTGTACTAGTGGCACAATGAATACTGTACAAAATTCTTTGGAAGTGGTGTGCTGCTAAGATCCTGCAAGGCTCGTAAAAATTGTACGATTCGGTTTTGAAACTCCATGACAAGGTTGGAGTCGGTAACATTCTCGTTTTCTTTCCCTTCCAATCATATATGTTGGTGCTAGCAATAACTCCCTTATGGATCTAGTTGATTTTATAAGGGTGTTGGTGCTTTGTGGTTTTCAATCGAAAATCCTTAACCACCCTACTTGAGAAAATGTATTTTGTGCGGCCACCGTCCACCAAGACATAAATTTTTTGCCTATTTTACATCTGGTCTAAAAAATAGGAACACGTTGAGAGATCACCTATTATCACGGAGCTAATAATTAATACATTTCCAAGTAATTAGAATTCTTCTTCCATTCAAAACATTTTTAACTTTGTGTACACAAAGAATTTGTATTGGTTGGTTGTCATCATCTTTGTCTTTGATTTGGACATTCATCAGATCGGTGACTTGGTTAAAAGCAATGAAAATACTTAGACAAACTTTCGTTTACTATGAATATTTTCGAAATTGAATCCAATACTTATTTCTGTTTTCGGTTTTGGGTTGTATAAGAGGGCTGATCAAGCGAAAAACTTTGAGAGAATCTTTGATATTGGTGATGCAACATTTTTCTATAATTAGAGGGAAGGAAATGTCATTTTAGTAGTTGTTTCATCCAATAATAGTTTTTTTCATTATTCTACCCTTTTTTCAATAACATGATTAACTCAATTGATGCTCAATTGATGCCATGCTCCAACGCACCCTTTGTACTTGCAGTCTACATACTTAACTTGCTCCTCGGTTGGGACCTCTAGATAGTTGAAGAAAGCCTTCATAGCTTTGCCCCAATGAAGATAATGATTAATATGGAATGCCTATTGGAATGATATTTCTGAATGAGTTATTCAATTTGAATTTGCATGAAAGCTCATGGTTTTTATGACCTTTATATATCTCTTATATTATCATTTACAATTGTGCAAATTTATTCAATCATTATAACAGTATCAATTGAAGCAATTTGTTTTTTGATTTAGTTTGTATTTTCCTCTTCTAGAACATTCATATTTATGATGAAAAAGCCTTCTTATTTCAATGTTCAAGGATGTTTTTATAATGCGACTAGTTCATCTTCTTCTTTATATTCAATATTTGAGAAGAGGTGAATGGCCTAATCGACTTGTCCTTGGTTTATTCAGTACAAAGATGTCAGACACAAAGAGGCTTATTTAGTATTCGGAAGATTCACATACATACCACTCAATTCTTATGTATTTACTTATCTAACTTCTAAACTTCAATTTATACATACATAACACCTTACCTATGCATGAAAAAGGTGTGTTTCACTTTTTAAAAGTTAAAATAATGATATTTTTTGTGTATTGTTAAGGATTTTGGGTTGTATAAATGTAAAAATGAAAGTTTGTGCTAGATATGTATAATACGTAGGAATTGGTTGGTATGATTATTTAAATACTGGTTGCTTTAGTTTTTAGTCCGTCTCACACAATATGATTTTCTTGGGAGAGGGTTGCAACACTATATATTCTTGGAATATGTAACAGCTGTGATTTTGCATATAATTGTTAATGTAATTTGATCAATATGACATTAATTAGAGTGAAAATGTTCTTACTTTATTGTCGTCATACTTTCTCACTTTCTTACATTATTTTCAGGATTGGAGTTCATGCACTGTGGGTTGTAAATTTGGAATTCATGCTAACAAAATACCTGATGCCATATTTGGACTATCCTCAAATCCGAAAACAGCTACTGTTCACCGATCCATGGAATCATCCCACTACTACATGGAAAACAATATCAATAATGCTCGACGGTGGGTAAGCACGATTTAATCGCTTTTGTTTCTATGCTCTTATTTACAGAGGTGGCCAAAGAATTAATTTGTACAAAAATAGATCCAAACTGAAATATCTAAACTATTTGATTCAATTTGGCTGGAGTTAGATTTATTATTTTTATATACTGATGAGTTTATCTTGATTTAGATTGGAGGTTTTAGAAAATCAAAAAAATTTGAACCCAACCAAGGCAGCTTGTTGATTTTTCAATCTATATAATAGAAAAGTAAACCATCATCTTAATTTATTACCTATAAAATCTATTTTCTACTTTTAACGCAAACAAAATAAAAATAAAAATCAAGCAAATCATAGTTTTCTAATTCTCAATGTAAAACTTAAAACTGTACTTAGATCAAACTAAATAGTTTGATTCAGTATCAGTTTTTCTTGGTTTTATTTTATTTTATGCTTTTGATGGTAGTTTAATTTGGTTCAGTTCCAAAGTACAGATTATTTAGATTCAAATCAAACTGTGATCATCCTTGGATATAAAATACGAAGGAAAAAAAAAACCTTGGATATCAAATAGAAGTTTCTCGTGTATACTTGATAAGTCTGATTTGTTGCATTGTTATTTTTGGACTGCCATTCTTTTTAAAAGTTTATTTTTTTATATTAGTTATGCTGATATTACTTCATCTCTTCTTAAGCTTTTTCTTGTTGATCATGGATAGAAAATATTCACAAAATTTATTTTTATTACAGAAGGGAAACTATGGTTGCATATGATCATCTTTGTTTTTTTCTTTTCTGGAGTGAGGAACTGGGAGATTTTCCATTCCCGGGCTTGTACTTTGTGTTCTACTATTTCAATTGATGTTTTTTTAGGAGGATGTATTACTGGCCGGTCAAAAGGTTACATTTGCAAAATAACTAAAAATGTAGTCCTAATGTAAGGAAAAGCCATCCTGTCACCAGGTATTAGTTTTGCAAGTGCATCAGGGGGAGATGGGCCGAGTTATATGGTACTGGATTCGGCGCCCCATTTAGCCAAGAGATCGGCAGGCCTGGTGGCTTCACCTAAGCAATGAGACCAATGAATGTTTAATGATGAGCTGAGCAGCGAGGCCTTTTTCCATATAATACCACAGTACCATGGGCAGTTATAGTGTTATAAGCCAGCAGCTAATCGGTTTCAATATGAAGCCAGAACCATTTAACCGATGAGCATTTAACAGGCATCATAGAGTTGCAAGCATTTCTGTATATAAAACTGTTAGGTATGACGCATATGCCATAAATGTGACAGATGTTGGAGCGGAAGGATCTGTCCAATCGGGGGAGTTTCATTATGTGAGTTGGGGGTGCGGGGGCAACACCCTGCAGTTTGGTACATGGAATAATTTAAGTAATTACATAAGTAATTACATATTGTACTATAGGGTTATATATATGTCCTGTTTGTAACCCTAGGCGAATCTCTGAGACATCGAGATTTTGAGTCTTGTATTTTGTACTCTTTTCTGAATATTGAAAAGGAAGTCGTTGCTTTGCTCTCAAGGACGTAGGCATCTTTGCCGAACCTCGTAAATCTCTGTGTGTTCTTTTAGATTTGTGTCGATTCCTATTTTTCTTCGCTCTAATTTCTCAATAAGTGGTATCAGAGTGTGGTGGCCTAACTTACATTGGTGCATAAGAAATTCCATGATATATTTCTCCTAAGGGGCTGGATATTCGCCAAGGTGGAGCTTTGTTGGATATATGCATTTCTCCTAAAGGGGTTGGATATTTGCCATAGTGGAGATTTGTTAGGTATGACTCATATACCATAAATGTTTATGGGACAAATACTGGAGCGGAGCGGAGCCTACTAGCAGAGTGGAGCGGAAAGATCTGTCCAATCGGGGGAATTTTATTATATGGGTTGGGGGTGCGGGGTCAATACCCCGCGGTTTGGTACATGGGTAATTTAAGTAATTACATATTGTACTATAGGGTTATATATATGTCCTGTCTGTAACCCTAGGTGAATTGAATTTTTTATTCTGTATTCTTTTCTAAATATTGAAAAAGAAGTCGCCGCTCTGCTCCCGAGGATGTAGGCATCTTTGCTGAACCTCGTAAATCTCTGCGTGTTCTTCTGGATCGTGTTCTTCTGCGTGTTCTTCTGGATTTGTGTCGATTCTTGTTTTTCTGGCCCTTAATTTCTCAACAAAAACATTGAAAGAGTGACAGGGTGTAGAGAAGAAGAGAATGCAGTGTACGACCTGATTTCTGACAAGTCCTCCCAATCCCGCATTACACGTTTGTGACTTCTATCAATATTTACCTTAATTTTATGGAGCTAATGGTTTGCACGGATTAACAAGTTGTAGAGAGAAAACTGGCGTGATAGCATTGTGTAAGTGAAGTTCCTGCTTATGTTTTAGGTCAATGCACCATTCAGAATTCTCTCTATTATACGAAAGAATTTTTTAGGTGAAAGATTTAGTTTGCAGCCACACTTTCACTTCAGAAGTATAGAGTTCCTGATGTTTCCGATTGTTCCTTTCCATCCAAAGGAACCAACAAGCAATATATTATATATGGACTCAGATTTTGTAAATGAAAATCTTTGTTTTGCCAATGCCAAACATGATAAACAATGATCTAAGGAAGTATAGCTATTTGTTGGAGGATAGATTTTGAACCGGCTAGCCAATTGCAACCAAATAGAAATGGAAAATCTGCAAGTGAAAAAGATATGAGAGAAGGATTCCTCCTCTTGTTTACATAAAAGGCACATTAAAGGAAATATCAACCCTTTCAATTTTAAGATATTATCAATTGGTAAAAAATTGAAATTGAGCCTCCATGCAACAAACGATTGAGATGGTTTTAATAGAGTTTTCCGTATGTAAGAACTTTCAGGTCGAGCTTGTATTGGATGCAGTTGAGCATCTAGCCTTAGGAACTGAAATATTATGTGAGGTTTTGAGTTTCAGGCAATCAGCCTTGTCTCTATGGAAAGGAATATTGGTAATTACATTAACCTAGTCCTTGTCACCAATGTTATTCAGGTTTTGATAATCCCAACCATCTTCAAGCCAAAAATCTGAAACTTTCTGATCATAGTTTGTTCAACCTGAATCAGCTTTGTGAGGGGGTCAAATAATGTCCAATCTTCTAACAAAAAGTTAACATCACCTTTACCAAGCCCCCAAATGAATAAGCCTTCAGCTTTGCTATTAGTTTTCAATAGCTCTTTCCAAAGTAAAGAATCTCCCAATTTAGGAATGCAAAGATGAGGACGTGACTTTGGAAAGTATCTTTTCTTCATGAAATGTGCCCAAAGGCAGTTCTGAGCTCGGATTTTAAACCAGAGTTTACAATTTCTCCATAGTGTGATTGAATGTTCTAAATCCCAACCCATAAAATTTTTTAGGCCTGCATAACTTCCTCCAAGAGGTCCAATGAATTCCTCTCCCATGACCGTCCCAAAGAAATATATTGAAAATCTTCTCGATTTTATTCTGCATGCTATTTATCATCTTATATAATAACAAAAAATAAAAAAAACAATAATAATAAAAAGATGCTGACGGTTTGAGGAGACGCATCCCTTAAGTTATAACAAATCCGTCACATCTCTCATTCAAACAAATCAAAGCATAAAGAGCGAGAAAGAGTATGGAAGCCACATTAGAGAAGGAAAAAGGAAGAATTTGCTCTTACTGTACAACTTTGTGCCCTAGTTAGGAAGGAGGAAGGAGAGGAAGGAGGCGGTGTCAAAGACCTACTTGGAATGAGCCGCAATTGAAGACGTGTCGTTTTCGCGAGAGAAGCCGAAGTAGCGCAAGAAAGCATCAAACCTTGCGTGCCATTGTTAGAACTGTTGAGCCTTGCGAAGGAGGAGAGGAGATGACCTTCGACACTATGCTTTCATAGCAGATGTAGGGGAGTTTGCTTTGAGTCAAGACCGAAGGTGAAGCAAAAGACGAGTCGAACTCCTTGCGGCTTTGTTCGCATACAGGAAGAAGAAGAGAAGGGGAGTCGAAGTTCGTCGTGTGCATAGGAAGGAAGGGGTTGCGCCTGTACTTTGCTGGGGTGAGACGGGACCAAAGGAACTCATGTGATCAAGCCGAGGAAAATAGAAAGGCGTAAGCTTTGTGCGTGAGCTAGGGCAGAGACTAGTTATATAAGGTATGTTTAATTTTTTTTATAAGTTAATTAATCTGTTATTATATATATAAATGCCACTTGAAAATTTAATTAGAACCTTAATATAATGATTTCAGATTCGAAGTTGAAGTTGGAGGAGCGTGGGAGCTCGGAGGAGGATCGATCCGAGCAACTTATACGTTAAATATTAATGGTATATTATTATTAGAACAATATGTATAATTATTTAAATTGATGTTATTAATTTTTTTTATGTAATCAGAAGGGTGTAGAAGACTGATAAATTCTAAAATTTTGAGGAAGACTAAGACCTCTCAATTGAGGTTAGAGTTTTTAATCATTCTTACATCTTTAAATAAGCTAGCTACATTTAAGTCTTTCCATTAAAACTCTTATAAGTACATGCACATTTTATTGGTTTAGGTGCTAGGAAATGAGAGGTAATGAACTTTTTCAGAGTTTTTTTAAGTCAAGTTGAATATTTATTTTTTTATATGTCTTAAATTTAATGTTTATGAAATAAAGAATTTCTTTAATGTTTTAGATAATTATTTTATGTTTGTATGCATGTTGTAGCTTAAGAATGAAAATAAATAAAAGGGGAAACAGAAAAAAATGTTTAATGTCCTTAAAAGAATGTATGTAATTTAATGAAATTAAGTGAAGGTTTATTGTTTAAGTCATATAGGATCACCCTCAAATAGTACTGACAGGGGATGCAATGTACCCATGCACGTTAAATGAAATAGTAAATGCGTGCCTTCGGGTGCAATTTGAGGGTACATTCAGGTACATTTTTTAGAGTGTCTTTGGGGGTGCCTTAAGACACATTTTGAGGCATTTTGAGGGTGCCTTCGGGCCTGATAGTAAT